TAATTCTTTAATTATTCATAATAACACCGGGAGAAGGTAGATGACGGAGGAATCATTTGCCCTGTCTAATAATTCATTAAGTATAATGCTATAGACATCTAAAATTCCTTTTCTTCTCTTGTGGGTACCAAGTGCAGCTAATGTTAATGTACTTAACGAGCCAATATGGTTGTTTTCTTGGGTATCCAGGACTTTGTCTGAGAGCAACATAGCTCAGATTTTAGTTCGGTTAATCTGGTGGAGGGAATGTGTTGAGAGGAACATCCCTACTCAACATTATAAACATTTAAACCACCCGTCACGTCACAGAAGACATGATACAAGTGGAAGATATCAAACAAATTTTGAAAAAAAGCAAAAGACACTGCACCAGCGCCTGATGGTGTCAGGTATGGTCACATGAAGGCTTTGAGCGATGTAGACCTGGCAGAGATGGCCGAATGTTTTAACCAGAGTATTAAGACAGCATCAGTACAGCAAGACTGGGTGCACAGCTATCTAATCCCACTACCAAAACCGTTTAGAGATCATTCTAAGCTTAGTGGCTTTAGAATCATCACCTTACAAAACACATTTGGGAAGGTCTTGGAGAAGACAGTTGCCGTAAAGTTACAAGAATTTTTGGAAAGGGGGAAGCCTTTCCCAAGTGGTCTGGGAAGTTACAGGCCAGAAAGGACACTTGGGCAAATGAGGCCACTTTTGCTTTTGACGTCTATGAAGGGTTCCAGAACAGACAGGAAACTATGGCGGTAGGACTGGATCTCGAGGATGCTTATAACAGAGTGGGTTACGACATCTTAATGACTGCACTGAGGGAGAAGGAGGTCAATCCATGGCTGGTGAATTGGGTTGCAGCTGTCCTGTATTCACGTCGGGTTGCTCTCCGACTGGGCTCATGGACCTCTGAACCATGCACTTTGGCCCCAGGACTGCCACAGGGATCCGCCATCTTGCCTGTGCTCGTGTATACGAGCAAGATTGCAAGCCTAGAAGCACCAGGAGTTGGAAGGATACTGACTTTTGTGGATGATATACTTGCATATAGGCAGAGGGAAGAGAGGGAACAAACAGTTTGGGAGCTACAAGCGACAGTAGACAAAGTGACTGAGTGGTGTACAGAAATGAAGGCTGTCGTCCACCCGGAAAAGGCGTCTGTTTTGTGGTGTTCTCTGGACAACAGAATCGTTAAAACTAATGTCCCAAGTCTCACGATAGATGGTAGAGACGTCAACAGAGAGAGCAAACTGAAGTATCTGGGAATTACATTTGACAGGAGCCTGTCCTTTAAGGACCATGTGGAGAGTGTTGGGTCAAGATGCCAAAAAGGACTTAGTGCACTTGAGACTATGGCTGCAATTGACATAGAGCAGATAATTATTTTCACACTATATCAGCACCTGATCCTGTCAGTGGTGGATTATGGCCTGGGGCTGCTTACCGTATCAAAGAGTCAGATGGACAAACTAGAGCGCATACAGAACTCGACTATGTTGGTCATTCTGGGTTGCACCAGAGACACCCCAGTGGTGTGTATGTGATACATCCTTGGTTTGCTGACGGTTGCAGGTAGGCACAAGGTGATGCAGGCGAAGTCATATCTCAGGGTAGCTACAGACACAGACCACCCTCTGCATGAAGCTCTGGGTGCAGTTAAGGGTCAGCGGCTGATAAGAGGGAGGTCATGGATGGCTCAGGCAGAAGACACAATCAGACAGGTTTGCATCCTTGAGAACATTAGGCGAGGAGAGGAGTGGGTCAAAGTGCCACCTGAGCAGTTTGACTTGTGTAGAGTCATTATCACGCTGAGCCGGGAATGCAGAGACTGGCCAGCAGGTGCCACAGAGGTGGAAATTTAGCAATTAATTCAAGATATTGCTCGCTCAGAGGATTTGATCATTTACACAGACGGTTCAGTGTCAAGAGGCAAAAGTAGTGCTTGGGGTTTTTTAGCAAAAGTTAATGGTCGACGCTTGGTGCAGGAGAGCCTAGCATATGATACCACAACATCCAGCTTAAGAATGGAGGTGGAGGCAGTCACTGCAGCTTTACGCTGACTAGAGAACACAACACACACACACATTGTAATTGTAACTGATTCAGAAAGCATGCTGAAGAAGATCAGAACAGGTATGCTTCGTGCAGAGTGGCATGCTTCGCTGCGGAGGACACGAGTGAGGAGTATTGTCTGGATTTTATCACTGGGTCATGCTGGTGTGTTGGGAAATGAACAGGCGAACAGACTGGCTGGCTCTGCACAACTTAGTGAAATACTGCTACATGATAGGGTAGACTTGGTTAGTGCCTTGTGGGAGAGCGTGTACAATGCGGAGGAGCAGATGGATCACCACAGTCTGGTGAGATTGATGCAGTTGGGGATGACGAGAGGTTCTGGCAGAAGCTCGAGGCTCAGAAGAAAGGCAAGACGGACGTTTAATCAGAAAGCTACTACCTAATAAGGCAACCATTTAAAATTTCAGCCAGTCAATCATTCAGTCATCCATCTAACCAACCTGTCAACCATCCATCCATCTTTCCAACCACTAAACCATCCATCCAACCCTCCACCTAACCATTCATCCAATAAACTAATCAACCATTCATTGAATGAACTAATGAACCTTCCATCATCCATCTATCCAACCAACCAACCATCCATCCCTCCAAACAACCATGTATGGATGGATGGATGAATGCATGAATGGATGGATGCATGGATGCATTGGTGGATGCGTGCATGCATGCATGGATGCATGTATGATTGCAGATGATATCCTTGTGTACCGTCGAGGTAAAAACAGGCAGGAAATTACAACCACACTACAACACGAACTAGACAGACTTAGTGAGTGGTGCCAGGAATCAAGAGCTCATGTGAACCCGTCCAAAGCCTCCTTAACATGGTTCTCTCTGAATACCCACATCGTGAGTACACCAACGCCAGTCGTAAGCATCTGTGGTGTGGACATCGAGAGAACGGACACCATGAAATACCTGGGCATGACATTTGACAGATGCTTGTCATACAAATGCCACGTAGACAACGTCATACTTAGAGCCAGGAAAGGTTTGACAGCACTCAAGGTGCTAGCAGCAGCTGATATTGAACAACGTCTACTTTTCCTTCTCTATCAAGGGCTTGTGCTTAGCGTCATTGACTATGGTCTCGGCCTCCTCACTGTCAGCAAAACCCAGCTAGAAAGACTGGACCGAGTACAGAATGAGGCCATGAGACTCATACTCGGCTGCACAAAAGACACCTCCTGCAACGCCATGCGTTATATCCTGGGTCTGCCGACTATGACAAGCAGATACAAAGTGGCACAGGTCAAGGCTTACATGAGGGTATCGGCAGATGTTAACCACCCATTACACAAAGCTATTCACGACACAAAAGGAACGCGTCTCAAAAGGGGCCGCTCTTGGATGGCAAAGGCTGAGGACTTAATCCAGCAGGTATGTGACCTAGACGTGATCAGCCACGGAAAAGAATGGACGAATACACCAGTAGACATGCATGGCATTTCTAAGGTTGTCATCACACTCGGAAGGTACTGCAGGGATCAAATTCCCGCGGCGGTAGACACAGAAGTAGGGGAACTGATAGATCAGCATTCAGACCCAGAAGATACCATCATCTACACAGATGGATCCGTGAAGCGCGGATCAAGGTCAGCATGGGCATATTCAGCGCAAAGAAAGGGGAAAAACAATATATGAGGACAGCGGCGCTTACCAGACAACCACGTCAAGCATGACAATGGAAATAGCCGCTGCTTCTAGAGCTTTAGCATGGGTATCCGAGCAAACCGCCACACAGGTAGTAATTGTCTCAGACTCAATGAATATGCTTCAGAAGATAGCAACAGGCAGTATGCGCTCTGAATGGATAGAAAGCATCAGGAAATCGCACTTAACCTCCGTAACCTGGATCTACACACCGGGTCATGCGGGCGTGAAGGGAAATGAGCGAGCAGACCAACTGGCAAGCACTGCACTAATGATTGCAGGAAAAAGTATGGACAGAGCAGACATAGTCAACGCTGTACGAACCGGGCTAGTGGAGAATGAGGAATCCCTGACACTAACACGATTGCGTGACATGGGAGTTAAGCATGGTGATGCACGTCTTTGCCGTCTTCGAGGCCGAGAAAGGAGACAATATAACCAGCTTCTCATGGGGACAATTAGTAGAAGTACTTTAGAGTGGCTGCTGCTTCGGAGAACTGAGCACGCATGGGTATGCCCAATGTGCAGTGACATTAATTGTGATAACAGAACATAAAATAACATCTTAGTAGGGAGTCGGCAGTACGAAACCCAAGTTCAAGGTGTCTCCTTCGTGCCAAAGAACTGCATGGCTGTTGGGTGAACAGTCGTTAACGAGGGCAGGCAGGTCGTTGTAGAGGCGACGCCTGCTGGTGGATGTAATGTCCTAAGTCCCTTCCCCAGCTAATAATGAGGGTACTGCTGGGGTGACCGTTTATTAACCCTCATATAATTCTTCCGGTCAAAATGGACGCTAGGTACGGCCACCTTTTTTTTTTTTTTTTTTAAAGCCGTGGCAAATATTTTTCCAGACGGTGGCCGTTGCATTTTTGCTCCATTTGTAGACTGGAAGGATGTAGTTTCGTCGCCCAGCTTCTGAGTTGAGTGCATGGCGTGACACTGTGAGCTGCGTTTGTTTTTCGTTGGCACAGGAGCGGAGCATGTGTGGGGTGACCCGTTTGCTATGAAGCTGAAACTAGGATTACCAGATTACCAGATTACCAGATGCATGTATGATTGCATAGATGGATGGATGTATACATGGATGGGTGAATACATGGATGGATGGGTAGATGAATGGATGGATGAATAGATGGATGGTTGGTTGGTTGGTTAGGTAACTGGATGGTCAAAGGATATTTAAGTAGGCTAAAACTGTGTTCAAATATAAATATTTTGTTTATTAATAATCTCATCACAAACTTGATGAAGTAAATGAATTTTGTGATCTCCAGGGACTAAACTATTTACACAGCAGTGAACTGGAGGTGCATGGACGACTGAAGACAACAAACTGCGTCATTGACAGCAGATGGGTGGCCAAACTCACCGACTATGGGCTCAAAAGATTCAAAAAGGGAGAAAAATCCTCAGATGAAATTGGGGAAGATAAATATTATACAGGTTTGTTTTGCTCACCTAGAGCTTTACACATTTTGCATATTATGCATGTTGCTGAAGCAATTTTGTGACACTGCAAATCAGTCTACTAAAAAATATAAAAAAATTTGTAAATCTCCATTTGTCAGTTTTTCTGTTCAACACTTTATTTTCATATGACAAACCTTCACACTGCAGCTGATACTCTGTAAGCCTTCAGTATAAACCATGACTCCTGCGAAGCTGCAGCACAGGACTGGACTTTCTGGTGCACATACATCCAAAATGGTGCAACGATCTGCGAGGCATCTAGAACACGCGTATCTGATTAGCGAAGATAAGCCAGAAAGAACTTACAAACAGGTCTTTTTGTCTACAGACGCTCTCATTGTCCTAGTCTCTTCCGGACACGTATTGGGCTTAAAAGTCACCTCTGGACTCACAAACATTCAACTGCAGTTTCATCACGGATGAAACACAGAGTGTTCCTCGTCGTTTGTGATGAACAAATGAATGATGATATTCAAGATTCCAAACACCAGTCACTTAGCTGCTATGATATCAAGGAGTCGAAACAACCAAGCACTAAGTTGCTATAATATTCAAGGATCAGATCAACTAGTCATCCAGCTGTTTTGAAATTCAAGAGCTAAACAACCAATCACCCAGTTGCCCTAATATTCAAGCAACCAATCATCCAGTTTGATTTACTGATGTCCTGCAAATTTGTCTATTTTGTCTCTGACATATTTATTAAATTTAAATAACTATTTCGTAGAATTATCTGTAACATTTACATTTGAAAGCCTCAATCCTCCTTTGTATTTCCACAGTGAGGGTCCAACCCTCACATCCATACAAGAAAATAGACAATGCCAGTGACCTGTATATACTAACCTTGCTGCGATGTTGATTTTGCTCTTCCACATCATAATAAGCTGCGGCATCACAGCTGTTGCCAAATCGAGGCTTGTCTTGATCTCGTTTTGAATTATTGAATTGGTTGTTATTTTATGAGTAAACGAACTAGCAATTACCACAAATAAACAGAAAAAAAAATTTTAATTAGCATTCCAGTTTTATATAGACAATTAGTCATCTTCATCTGATTATTGATTGGCTGTAAACTCTGTCAGAAAGTTCTGGTTGTTCTCTGCTTCTGGACTTTAGTCTTGTTCCAGAACGAGCTTTTCATACACATCTGTTTTACAGATTAGGCTGATGTGCATGCAGACTTTTGGTTCCTGGTCACTCAGGCAGATGCAGTCTGACTAGAGAAAACACCTAAATTTTTATTAATTTGTACAACATGCTTGTTGGGGGAAGCATGTTTATTATTATTTTTTCCTCACTATAGAGCCCTGAAACCTCCAGGAACAAAAAACAAATAAATGGGACAGTAATGTTTATTGCTGATAGCCAAGAACCTCTACCACAGTTTGTTGGAGACATAAGAGATCTGTTTTGTAGATTTCTTACAGTCATCTTTTTTCATTGCTTGCAGATTTATTTTGGACAGCCCCAGAATTACTGAGGCCAATCCTCCAGCATGAAAAAGTGATCCCGACAAAAGAAGCTGATATTTTTTCACTTGGAGTCGTCCTGAAGCAGCTTCTGTGTAAGAACTTTGCCTACAACGAAGAACTGGCACATCAGACCCCAAAAGGTGTGGTTGTTATAGTAACATGTAACTTTAATTATGGCACTAAGTATTTCATGACAAATTAATAATTTGGAATTGCTATATTTTTTTTTTTAAATCATGAACAACAGCACTGAGAATTTATGTCGAAGTTTCATGAACAAATGTCAGTTCAATCAAGAAGAAGATTTCTGCCAGATTCCCATTGCCACAGTCTAGGATAGACAGATCTCATAAAATAAAATATACACAGTAACGACTGTTCTTCTATAATGACATTTTTCACACTCTAATAGGCTATAAAGTGAACATAATCAACATACTAAACTTACTCCATAGGAATTAAATGGAGGATTCTGGGGGAAACAGAGAAGCCGGTAACCCTATCACAATCATGAACTATCAAATGGATACTGCGACTAGAAAACTTTCATCAGCCATCAACACAAATGGACAATGATACAACTACAAGCAAAAATACATAAAATCATATGGGACTGCAGTGACGTTTGTCACAAGATATCCATCTAAATTTGAACAGTAGAGGCTCCACCTTCACTCTTTATTGCAGGGGTATGATACTGGAAGGGAAGTTATCCAGTGAGGTGGGGTAGGTAGGTGAGATGAGAGATTATGGCAACTGAGGTGAATAGACATTTTTTTAAAGCTTAAACTGTGTTGGACATTAAAATCTTTAGGAGAGAGAGTGCCCAGTAGAGTGCTGAACAGGGATTCTTCTATAGAAGAATGATGAGAACATCCTGGATAAATATAAATAACTCAGAAAAGAGAACTGGTTTCTAGGAAAGTTGGAGGATGGGGGGGGGGGGGGGGGGGGGGGGGGGAGGACAGAGAGAGAGAGAGAGAGAGAGAGAGAGAGAAGAAGAGAGAAGAGAGAGAGAGAGAGAGAGAGAGAGAGAGAGAGAGAGAGAGAGAGAGAGAGAGAGAGAAGAGAGAAGAAGAGAGAGAGAGAGAGAGAGAGAGAGAGAGAGAGAAGAAAGAGAGAGAGAGAGAGAGAGAGAAGAAAGAGAGAGAAAGAGAGAGAGAGAGAAGAAAGAGAGAGAAAGAAAGAGAGAGAGAGAGAGAAGAAAGAGAGAGAAAGAGAGAGAGAGAGATTGAGAGGCTGAGGAAACTAAAAGAATAGATTTTAGTTTTGCATCTCAGCGAGGAGAAGAATCTGTAACATAAATGATTGGCAGCACCTGAGATATGCTGTGGACCAGGGTGGGCAAACTTTGTGATCAGCAGACCCAGTTCAGAATTACCAGCTTGGTCACAGGCCATATAGAAAAAATCCATCATAAACATAAAACGCAAATTCCTCTGTAACATGATATTTACATTTTAACCTGGTAAATGTTGATATGTGGAATTTTTTTCTTTGGGCATACAAACATGTTTTTGTGTTCTGCTATTTTGTGAGCTCATGGGCCAGATTGAATAGTAATTTTACACCAGCCTCGTGGGCCAGTAAAAATTGCTCAATGGGACAGTGTTAGTTTGCAGTCCTTAGTTTGCCTACCTCTTCTGTAGACAGACATTATGACCAATACCTTATAGTAAGTATTTAAGACAAAATGTAAAGGCCCCTTTTCAATAGCACATCAAGTATGACAATGCTAGACTGATGTTTTTACAGATCAACTGGCACTTGGTGGATGTTGTGATCAACATCCAGTCCGACCAGCTGATTTACTTCCCAGGAAAATGACATTGCCATATAGCATAAATTATAATTGAAGCAAATTAACTCTTTAAATTTAAGAAGGTTACCACAGCCGTCCAGTGGAAGAAACAACAGTCACAAAATCACACTAGTATTGTTATTAAAGCGGGAGGGGAAGGGGGGGGGGTATACTTCTTTACCACCTGTATTTATTACTTTTAAGACACAGAAAGGGTGGGGTGGGAGGTCTTGAGTCTTAAAGAAGGCTGGATGGATAATGCCATCACCATGAAACGTTAGGACTTTTATTTTTTCCTTAGATAGAAAATTATAATTCCTTTACTGAGGATTGACCCTGGGTCTCTTGTATGAAAGTCCAGTGGGCTAACCACTTGGCTAGCTGCTCCTCAGGGCCAAAAGCTCCATCTAGACTTACAAAATTCCATTTTTTATGTTTACTCAAGAAAACAATAATTGCCACCTTCAGTCATATTTAACAATGTATTGTGCTCTAGAATTTGTTTGTTTTTTTAAACATCCTTATATGGCCTTTGGATTTCATTTTGCATGCATTTTTAGTTTACAAATAAATCTCTTCTAATATATCATTACTTATCAGTCAGTTCTCTCATCACCCAAGTTGGAGTGCCTTCATCATGCACAATTAAACTTGGCTGTGTGTTTCTAGTTTTTCAGTTACCACAACTCAGCTGTTTGTTTTCATTATTTCAGAAATAATCATGAAAATAGCTAACCCAGGATCTGGGCCAGTTGTGAGACCACACATCATAGAAGAGTTCCCTGAACATCATATCATCATGATGTCATTTGTCCATCTGATCAAGGCATGCTGGGCCGAGGAACCCAGTCAGAGACCCACCATTAAAAAGGTTCTGAGAAAAATGAAAAGAATGAGTCCACTAAAGTAAGCAAAAAAAATTTTTCTTAAACAATGGAGACCATGTAAACTGAAACAATGGAGACCATGTAAACTGAAACTGAGAATTGCTGATTTAGATTATGGGATCATATTTGTCTTCTTGTTGTTACAGTCCATGCCGTGTGGCACTGGTATTCATGTCTATCCACAATCAACTGTCCCGTGTTTTTTCATCATTTCTGACACAGATGATCTTTCCTGCCATGATACCAGACTGCCCAGCATTTTTTCTTGGTCGCCCTCTGCATCTTTCCCCCTCTATATTTTGTCACGATATACTCCAGTTTTCTCCTCTCATGACATGACCAAAGAATGTAGATTGTCTCTTTCTGATGTGGGCAATGAGTTCTCTTCATGAGCCAGTTTCTTTCAAGACATCTTCAATACTCAATTTATCTGTCCAGGGTGTTCTTATCATTCATCTGTGAAACCACAGATTGCACAGAATTTTTCACTAATCAACCAACTAACCATGATTCACCTCTGTATAATAGGATAGGTTTTATATAGCTCTTGAGAATTCTCTTTCTCACCTCAACTGATAAGTAAAGATTGCATAAAATATTCTTGATTTTATAATGTCTTTGCTTGAGCTATTCTACATTTAATTTCTTTAATACATCTTCCATCTTCTGATTTCAAGGTGACAAGTACTTAAACGTATTGAGTTGCTTCAGACTTTTCTAATTTAATTTAATGTTGCATTTAGAGGGACATATTTTCCCTGTGATTATGCTAGCAATCATTATATGTTAAACTCTTTCAGTTCCAGACAATACATAATATATTAATCATTCTGTCCACTGAATGCCTAATGTGCTGTCATACTTTTTTTTTTTTTGGGGGGGGGGGGGGGGGGGGGTACATTCAATTAGAAAACACTTAAAAATAACTGGCTTCTCCAATGATCACTACTAATGTTATATTATCACATAGAAAGTATTACATTCACGAATTTTAAACATGGATATTTTGTAATTTAATCAGGCCCTGAAAACCTTTGGTAATGCAAGAGTTATAATATTGACAAATGTTTTTATCTACCAATGGAACATAGGCTTTTGACCAAGCCATACCAAAGTACTTGTTCATGATTGGTTGGATTAGGCAGTTTGAATTATCAATGAAATGAGGTAGCCAATCATACATCAACCCTAACTGATCATCTCCTGTGTCATACAGGCAACTTGCTATATCATTCCATGAGAAACGGGGTGCAAAATCAAACAAACATACAAAATTCAACAAAGGATTTAGGATGAACTTATTCTTGGCCTTCACAATCTTGGCAAATGAAAGAAAAAATTAATGAGGAAGCATAAAAGTTGAACTGAAAATAAAGAAACTTAATTTAGTTTAGTGTTTCCTTATTTTCAGGAGCAGTGGTGTCCTTGACAACATGCTTTCTTTGATGGAACGCTACTCCAACCGACTGGAAGATCTGGTGTCAGAGAGAACTCTTCAGCTTGAGGAGGAAAAAAGAAAGACAGATACACTTTTATACAGAATGTTACCAAGGTTGGTTATCACAAAGATCCTTGTAAAGAATTTTACCAAGGTTTGTTATCACATAGATCCTTGTAAAGAATGTTACCAAGGTTTGTTATCACATAGATCCTTGTAAAGAATGTTACCAAGGTTGGTTATCACATAGATTGTTATGAAGAATGTTAGCAAGGTTTGTTATCACATAGAACCTTGTACAGAATGTTACCAAGGTTCATTATCACATAGATCCTTGTTCAGAATGTTACTAAGGTTCATTATCACATAGATCCTTGTACAGAATGTTACCAAGGTTCATTATCACATAGATCCTTGTACAGAATGTTACCAAGGTTCATTATCACTTAGATCCTTGTACAGAATGTTACCAAGGTTTGTTATTACTTAGATTATTGTACAGAATGTTGCCAAGGTTCATTATCACATAGATTGTTGTAAAGAATGTTACCAAGGTTTGTTATCACATACATTGTTATATACAATGTTATCCCTGTTTGCAATAATGGCAACAACAAATTACCTTTGTATTACTTTCACAAGGATTAACATTTAAATAGCTTGTATAAAGCAAATATATTGCGTGATTTTTAAATAAACATAACAAGTAAAGTCACTTGCCATCCATTGGTTAGTGCGTATGAAGAATAGCAAGCTGATCTCATTTAGTGTATTTGTTGTCACAAAAAGAGTTTAAAAATTGGTCATTGTATAAACAATATTTTTCTTAAATTTGTTTCATCCAGGAAAGTTGCTGATGATTTGAAAATAGGTCACCACGTCCAGGCTGAAGCATTCACAGATGTGACTATCTACTTTTCTGATATTGTCGGATTCACCACCTTGGCAAGCGAGAGCACACCCATGGAGGTATTGTCAGACATATCCCTTCAGTAGTAACTAAATGTGCAGTATTATAACACTTGTCCACAGATGTAAAGGTGCAGAGGAATAGATTAGCTCAAATATCAAAGATATTCACTGATCAAAAGATATGAAGATCACTCATTGTCCAGTTAGAGTCAGGGATTGAGTACGAAGCTGACTGATGAGGCTGACATGAACTTGGTCTGCTTCTTCTTTGTCTTCTTTGGGTTGATCGGCTGTAAACTATAGTTGAAAATTATGGTTTATGGTCCACTTCTGGACTTTAGTATTGTTCCAGCACTTGAGATTTACACGCACATCTGTTTTACAGATTGGCTTATTTATATGCAGAATGTTGGTTCCCCCTCTCTCAGGCTCATGTACTTGGACTTTGAAGGAAGCACTCCCTAATTAGTTGGCTTTTATTACATGATTTTTAGGGGGTCAGTAGGTTTATAACACACCCCCCCCCCCTCCCCATCCGGCCAGTGGGGCCCCAGAACCGACAAAGTTTTTGGGACAGCATGTGGACTAAAGTAAGATTTAGCCACATTGAGATTTCTTCCTTGTTTCATTTGCTCTATCAGTCCTGATAACTGCACCATGATAAAGAAGTGAACACCTCTAGATCAGTTTTGAGTAACGGCTTGCCATATTTTTTGTGTGATGCTGAAGGATTTGAGAGCAGCCCTTTGGGTGTCTTTGAAATATTTTCTCTGTTTGTGCAGGGATCTTTTCCCTTGCTGCAGTTCATTCTCCTTAAAAGCTGGTAGTCTGTCATATGGGCTGGGTGACTTGTTTTCTAATTGACAGTTACCAAAATAAAAATTGTCTGCAAATTTAGGACATCTTATTTTTTCTTTTTTAGCTTTGTTCTGCCTTTCAGCATTAAGTTTTGAGAGGCCTTTGGTGCAAGGGTTGGCGTGTGCTATAAAGATGCTGGTATTCACGGCCCTGGATATTCCATCTATCCATAACTTGCTTGGGTGACCTCTAGCTCTGATTCCATTGTTTAAGTGACAGGACTGTCTGTGGTACACTGTCTTGTGGTAGTCTTGATACATATCTGAACCATTTAACCTACTCTTTCTTGGGTAGTTTAGCACTGGTTTCATCTGACCTTGCCTCCTGGCATTATTGTTTCTAATCTTGTCTCTTCTTGTTAAATTTAGGATTCATCGTAGACATTTAATTTCTGATGTTTCAATTCTTTGTTTCTTTCCTTTGTTATTAATATCCATGCTTGGCACTGGTAACATAATGTTGGTAAAAAATACTGCATTGAAGGGTGTTTCTGTGTGTGTCAGTTTAATAGACTATAATTTGTATCAGCTACAGAAGACTTAGCCAGTTATCAAATAGCTGAAGTCAAATGTCTCAGTCAAAAGACACAGCTGTCACAGCTCTGTTGAAAAGGGGCACAATTTAATAACCATGAGAAAAAAAAATGTATGTGAAAATTAACAAATAAGTAGAAAAGATATTTATTAGCTTGTACAATTATTGTGTTTGTCCTTGGCTATGCCACAGGTTGTTGAGATGCTGAATCTTTTGTACAGTCAGTTTGATGACATCATTCAAATGTTCAATGTATATAAGGTAAGTTCAGTACAAACAACTTTACTGTATACAAAATCATTGTAAAATTGCAGTCTGCAGTGTCTCCAAAATAATAATGCACTTTACTTTTCCCATAAAATTATGTTAAAATTTACAAGAGTGATTGTTGCAACCGTCAGTGTACATTTAGCCATTCTTCTTCCTTGTTTTTGTGCAGAAAGTTCTGGTTGTTTGTCCACTCCTGGACTTTAGTCTTCATACAGAACTTGAGTTTTGTGTGCATATCCATTTTACAGATCTCTCTTATTCTGTATGCAGAGTGTTGTCCCTTGCCTGTCAGGCAGATATACTCTGACTCTCAAGTTAACACCCCTCAGTTAGTCGCCCTCTACAACAGGCTTGTGGGGGGTGGGGTGGCGGAGAGTGGGTCCATTCTTTGTGCTCCAAAACAGAGCCCTGGAACCCACTCGAGGATATTGGAGAAGGATACAGTTGCAGGACAGTGCCAAAACAAATGACAAGGGCACTGTAAAAATACATTATAGTGTAATATGTAACTCAACTTTCTATTAGTCAGAAGTTCCAGCAAAGAAAGATATTATATAACTCCAGATGCATTTGGAAGGCAAAAGAAAACTACCATATTATCTTCCCAAGTTTGCATAAATCAAAGCAGGACAGAGTTAGAAGCACCAGGGACTGGAATGTGTGACGACAAAAAAATGCCGACTCTATTTGGGACGGCATTTGATGATGATAAAAATGATGATGATGATGATGATGATGTGGCGATGATGATAATATTGGTGAACTTATTGTCAAAATAATTAAAAAGAAATCTTCATTCCAAAGGTTGAGACAATTGGAGATGCCTACATGGTTGTCTGTGGCTGTCCTGACCCCAATCCAGATCACGCTGCCACAATGGCAGATATGGCCTTGACACTTCTCGATTCTGTCATTCATTTTGTCATCCCTCACAGACCTGATGCAGAATTGAGAATTCGGATAGGTAAGCCATATTTTATGAGCTAGTAACTTTTTAGAGTGGGCTCAGTAACATTTTAGTTGGCTCAGTAACACAATAGTTGGTTACTGGCTCAGTTAAGTAAGGCATGTTGGGGACATTGGTTTTGGCTCATATTTTCACTGACCAATCACTGTGCTATGATAGTTCACATACTGTTTATGACCCCAGCTGTTTATGTTTCTTGAGATGTCTCTGTTAGTCGTTGGATGAGTCTGGGCAGACCTTACAGCCATCCTTTTTAACCTTGTTTGTTTGTTTCTTTAACTTCTTCTTTTTCTCTGGCCATGTTCTGCCTTTCAGCGTCAGGTTTTAAGGAGGCATCAGATGCAAGCCTCTGTATGTGCTACGTAGATGCTTGTATTTGCATCCTTGGATATTCCATCAATCCATCATCGAGTTCTCAACCGACCTCTTGGTCGGCTTCTGTTAGCATTCTTGACACATGTTCGAACCATTGGATTTGTTGTCTCTTTATATTAAATCTTGCTCAAAGAAACAATATTTTTTTTCAAAGAAATACATTTTCTCACACAACCACACTATACTCACTGATCCCACATGTTGGCAACACTCACAGCACACCTGCCCAACACACTAGCACAAACAAAGACACACACTCACAATATTCTCTCCTTGTGTCTTTCACTTTAGCGGAGCATAAAATGAATGAATGAATCCAGAATTGACATCATTGCACTCGAGACATTCCTTCACTTGCTCCGACCCCGTCTTCAGTAACCAATGAACAGTTCACATGCTAATAGTTCCAGCTGCAACCTTAATAAGAGTCCACCTCTATTTCCCCTTCACCGTTGATTATCTTTTACAACCTCTACTCACCCCCCCCCCTTCACCCCCCCCCCCCTTTCCCTGTTGAATTAGTCTTTCAGTATGAGGATTCCTTATTTGTTTTTTTGCACTGTCCATTTGATCCCATAGCACCTTCACCACATCTGCTTTATCACATACTAGCTCACTGCCCAGAGGAGCGACAGCAGCAAATTTATCAGCCTGCCTGTTACATCACACACCTTCTTTTCCTGGTCAGAAAATCCATGATATGCTCTTGACCTGGATCTTATCCTGCGATGCAAACCACTCTGAGAGCAGGACACCAGATTCAGTTTTCTGAAGCACGCTCTGTGAGTCTGTTACAATCACAGCATGTCCAGCTGCACTGTTCTGAAACCATCGGAGAGCTGCCGTTACTGCCTCCACCTCCATTCTCCTACTGAATGTAGTGATGTTGCATTCGAGGCTCTCTTTTTTCAAGCTGTGTTCATTCACCTTTGCAATAAACATTTCAGTTTTCTGAAGCAGGTTCTGTGAGTCTGTTACAATCACAGCATGTCATGCTGTGCTGTTCTCAAAGTAGCATTTGAAGTAAATGTTTTCTGAAGTCACTATGTTCTGAAGTCAAACCAAACCTCTCAGCTGCATTTTATGTCATGCTTGATAAGCTACTTTGTTGTTATTCTTTGCTCTCCTTGTGGGCCGTGGTATACATAATTTTGTATTAAAAATTCTACTTAAATACAAACAATTCTATTGTAAAAGCTTCAGTTTATCAATTCTCTACTTTATCAATGTTCCTTTCCACTCAGAATTGTAGAATTTTCCTTCCATCTCTTACAGTTAAGAACAGTTCTTTTAAAAACTATTTCTTGCTTCTCTAATTCTTATCCCTCTTTGGCTTCTACTACAAAAGATATCACTGCCTCTGTGTACTATAAAATATTGCAAAGGATCATTTTTACACCAGTATCACATTGGGCTCATACTTTTAAAGACTCAGCGGCACTAGATAGATGATGTAGTCAGCATCTCAATGGCCACCTTTACTTCCCAGGACAATGTCTGCTACCTGTTTTAGGCTGGGTTGACCTGAAAGCCAAACTCAATTTTTTTTTATCTGCCTTCATACGGATTTGAACCCAATGCAAACATCCAGCCGCTATGCCACCACTGCTCACTTGTACTATAAATATTTTTTTCCAATGTAATACTGTGAGGAATAAATTTAATTTATTCAATTGCCAGGTTTAAACTCTGGCCCTGTTGTTGCTGGGGTTGTTGGTAACACTATGCCACGTTACTGCCTGTTTGGCAATACAGTGAACCTGGCATCCCGCATGGAATCCCAGGGACTGCGTAAGTTGGCTTACTTTAGTTGTTTTTGCATGTTAACTATTAAAAAACAAAAAACTGCTTTGAGTAACACAAAATTAAAACTCCTTAAATGAACCAAGGACAGAATCTCCTGTATTTGATATTTCACTAGAATTATTTTAATTAAAATTTATAAACATTATTCTAGTCACCAGATTTCTTACTAGTAGCTGTATTGCCATATGTCAATTCTCACTGTAAGATTAGAAGAGATGATGTTTGAACATGGGTCAAGCAGACCTGGTTCATGTCTGAGTGTTGCCTGAATGTTTATAAAATAAGACAAATGATGGCATACTCATCCCTCATTATGGGGTGGTGGGTTGGGCAGGAATTGTTAGTCAACACTGTGGCTTAGAGGCTAGTAAAATCGTTTCACACTGTAAAATGTAACATTTACCAGGGTTCAGTTGCCACAATCAGTGGTTTGGAAAAACACAATTTTCTTGGCTTTGAGACAGTGGCCTGGGAGTTGCTGCATGCAGGAGACTGGGGCTTCACCATGTTATATTCCCATAGTTGGGTGTGAACACATTTCAGCTAGCAGTCAGATATGTGGGAATAGCTTAGAAGTCCCATGTGTATGTCGATCATGTTACAAATATGAATACAATTGCTGTGTGAAAGATAAGTGTTTGGAAGGGTGAACAGAAGATAAGTGTTTGGAAGATGAACAGAAGATGAGTGTTTGGAGGGGTGAACAGAAGATGAGTGTTTGGAAGATGAACAGAAGATGAGTGTTTGGAGGGGTGAACAGAAGATGAGTGTTTGGAAGGGTGAACAGAAGATGAGTGTTTGGAAGGGTGAACAGAAGATGAGTGTTTGGAAGATGAACAGAAGATGAGTGTTTGGAAGATGAACAGAAGATGAGTGTTTGGAAGGTTGAACAGAAGATGTGTGTTTGGAAGGGTGAACAGAAGATGAGTGTTTGGAAGATGAACAGAAGATGAGTGTTTGGAGGGGTGAACAGAAGATGAGTGTTTGGAAGGGTGAACAGAAGATGAGTGTTTGGAAGATGAACAGAAGATGAGTGTTTGGAAGATGAACAGAAGATGAGTGTTTGGAAGGTTGAACAGAATATGAGTGTTTTAAAGATGAACAGAAGATGAGTGTTTGGAAGGGTGAACAGAAGATGAGTGTTTGGAAGGTTGAACAGAAGATGAGTGTTTGGAAGGGTGAACAGAAGATGAGTGTTTGGAAGGGTGAACAGAAGATGAGTGTTTGGAAGGTTGAACAGAAGATGAGTGTTTGGAAGGGTGAACAGAAGATGAGTGTTTGGAAGGGTGAACAGAAGATGAGTGTTTGGAAGGGTGAACAGAAGATGAGTGTTTGGAAGGGTGAACAGAAGATGAGTGTTTGGAAGGTTGAACAGAAGATGAGTGTTTGGAAGGGTGAACAGAAGATGAGTGTTTGGAAGGGTGAACAGAAGATGAGTGTTTGGAAGATGAACAGAAGATGAGTGTTTGGAAGGGTGAACAGAAGATGAGTGTTTGGAAGGGTGAACAGAAGATGAGTGTTTGGAAGGGTGAATAGAAGATTAGTGTTTGGAAGGGTGAACAGAAGATGAGTGTTTGGAAGGTTGAACAGAAGATGAGTGTTTGGAAGGGTGAACAGAAGATGAGTGTTTGGAAGGGTAACAGAAGATGAGTGTTTGGAAGGGTGAACAGAAGATGAGTGTTTGGAAGGGTGAACAGAAGATGAGTGTTTGGAAGGGTGAACAGAAGATGAGTGTTTGGAAGGTTGAACAGAAGATGAGTGTTTGGAAGAGTGAACCAAAGATGAGTGTTTGGAAGGTTGAACAGAAGATGAGTGTTTGGAAGGTTGAACAGAAGATGAGTGTTTGGAAGGTTGAACAGAAGATGAGTGTTTGGAAGAGTGAACCAAAGATGAGTGTTTGGAAGGTTGAACAGAAGATGAGTGTTTGGAAGGTTGAACAGAAGATGAGTGTTTGGAAGGTTGAACAGAAGATGAGTGTTTGGAAGATGAACAGAAGATGAGTGTTTGGAAGATGAACAGAAGATGAGTGTTTGGAAGGTTGAACAGAAGATGATTGAAGGGTGAACCAAAGATGAGTGTTTGGAAGGGTAAACCAAAGATGAGTGTTTGGAAGGGTGAACCAAAGATGAGTGTTTGGAAGGGTGAACCAAAGATGAGTGTTTGGAAGGGTGAACCAAAGATGAGTGTTTGGAAGGGTGAACAGAAGATGATTGGAAGGGTGAACCAAAGATGAGTGTTTGGAAGGTTGAACAGAAGATGAGTGTTTGGAAGGTTGAACAGAAGATGAGTGTTTGGAAGATGAACAGAAGATGAGTGTTTGGAAGATGAACAGAAGATGAGTGTTTGGAAGGTTGAACAGAAGATGATTGAAGGGTGAACCAAAGATGAGTGTTTGGGAGGGTAAACCAAAGATGAGTGTTTGGAAGGGTGAACCAAAGATGAGTGTTTGGAAGGGTGAACCAAAGATGAGTGTTTGGAAGGGTGAACCAAAGATGAGTGTTTGGAAGGGTGAACCAAAGATGAGTGTTTGGAAGGGTGAACAGAAGATGATTGGAAGGGTGAACCAAAGATGAGTGTTTGGAAGGGTGAACCAAAGATGGGTGTTTGGAAGGTTGAACAGAAGATGAGTGTTTGGAAGGTTGAACAGAAGATGAGTGTTTGGAAGATGAACAGAAGATGAGTGTTTGGAAGGTTGAACAGAAGATGAGTGTTTGGAAGATGAACAGAAGATGAGTGTTTGGAAGATGAACAGAAGATGAGTGTTTGGAAGATGAACAGAAGATGAGTGTTTGGAAGGTTGAACAGAAGATGAGTGTTTGGAAGGTTGAACAGAAGATGAGTGTTTGGAAGGGTGAACAGAAGATGAGTGTTTGGAAGGGTGAACAGAAGATGAGTGTTTGGAAGGGTGAACAGAAGATGAGTGTTTGGAAGGGTGAACAGAAGATGAGTGTTTGGAAGAAGAACAGAAGATGTGTGTTTGGAAGGTTGAACAGAAGATGAGTGTTTGGAAGGTTGAACAGAAGATGAGTGTTTGGAAGGTTGAACAGAAGATGAGTGTTTGGAAGATGAACAGAAGATGTGTGTTTGGAAGGTTGAACAAAAGATGAGTGTTTGGAAGGTTGAACAGAAGATGAGTGTTTGGAAGGTTGAACAGAAGATGAGTGTTTGGAAGGTTGAACAGAAGATGAGTGTTTGGAAGAGTGAACCAAAGATGAGTGTTTTGGAAGGTGTTTGAACAGAAGATGGAGTGTTTGGAAGGTTGAACAGAAGATGAGTGTTTGGAAGGTTGAACAGAAGATGAACAGAAGATGAACAGAAGATGAGTGTTTGGAAGATGAACAGAAGATGAGTGTTTGGAAGGTTGAACAGAAGATGAGTGTTTGGAAGGTTGAACAGAAGATGAGTGTTTGGAAGGGTGAACCAAAGATGAGTGTTTGGAAGGGTGAACAGAAGATGAGTGTTTGGAAGGTTGAACCAAAGATGAGTGTTTTGGAAGAGTGAACCAAAGATGAGTGTTTGGAAGGGTGAACCAAAGATGAGTGTTTGGAAGGGTGAACCAAAGATGAGTGTTTGGAAGGGTGAACCAAAGATGAGTGTTTGGAAGGGTGAACCAAAGATGAGTGTTTGGAAGGGTGAACAAAGATGAGTGTTTGGAAGGGTGAACCAAAGATGAGATGTTTGGAAGGGTGAACCAAAGATGAAGGGTGAGTGTTTTGAAAGGGTGAACCAAAGATGAGTGTTTGGAAGATGAACAGAAGATGAGTGTTTGGAAGGGTGAACCAAAGATGAGTGTTTGGAAGGGTGAACCAAAGATGAGTGTTTGGAAGGGTGAACCAAAGATGTGTGTTTGGAAGGGTGAACAGAAGATGAGTGTTTGGAAGGGTGAACCAAAGATGAGTGTTTGGAAGATGAACAGAAGATGAGTGTTTGGAAGGGTGAACCAAAGATGAGTGTTTGGAAGGGTGAACCAAAGATGAGTGTTTGGAAGGTTGAACAGAAGATGAGTGTTTGGAAGGTTGAACAGAAGATGAGTGTTTGGAAGATGAACAGAAGATGAGTGTTTGGAAGGTTGAACAGAAGATGAGTGTTTGGAAGATGAACAGAAGATGAGTGTTTGGAAGATAAACAGAAGATGAGTGTTTGGAAGGTTGAACAGAAGATGAGTGTTTGGAAGGAAGATGAGTGTTTGGAAGGTGAACAGAAGATGAGTGTTTGGAAGGGTGAACAGAAGATGAGTGTTTGGAAGGGTGAACAGAAGATGAGTGTTTGGAAGGTGTGAACAGAAGATGAGTGTTTGGAAGGGTGAACAGAAGATGAGTGTTTGGAAGATGACAGAAGATGAGTGTTTGGAAGGTTGAACAGAAGATGAGTGTTTGGAAGGTTGAACAGAAGATGAGTGTTTGGAAGGTTGAACAGAAGATGAGTGTTTGGAAGGGTGAACAGAAGATGAGTGTTTGGAAGGTTGAACAGAAGATGAGTGTTTGGAAGGTTGAACAGAAGATGAGTGTTTGGAAGGTTGAACAGAAGATGAGTGTTTGGAAGGTTTGAACAGAAGATGAGTGTTTGGAAGGTTGAACAGAAGATGAGTGTTTGGAAGGTTGAACAGAAGATGAGTGTTTGGAAGGTTGAACAGAAGATGAGTGTTTGGAAGAGTGAACAGAAGATGAGTGTTTGGAAGGTGAACAGAAGATGAGTGTTTGGAAGGTTGAACAGAAGATGAGTGTTTGGAAGATGAACAGAAGATGAGTGTTTGGAAGATGAACAGAAGATGAGTGTTTGGAAGATGAACAGAAGATGAGTGTTTGGAAGATGAACAGAAGATGAGTGTTTGGAAGATGAACAGAAGATGAGTGTTTGGAAGATGAACAGAAGATGGAGTGTTTGAAGATGAACAGAAGATGAGTGTTTGGAAGGTTGAACAGAAGATGAGTGTTTGGAAGATTGAACAGAAGATGAGTGTTTGGAAGGTTGAACAGAAGATGAGT